TGTGCTGAGCCTGACAACCCAACGAACTATTCTACCTGGGAGCCTGGGAACCTAGGAACCGAACCTTTGCCGAGCCTCGTGATGATTGTCAGATTGTCATGTCACGGCACATGTCTCAGCCCAGCCAGGGAGGGAGTCTTGCGGCAGATCTTCAACCGCAGATGCATTCGGCAACAGTCGCAAAGCCGGACTGGTGAGGAGCAGCATCATCATATTATGATGATGTTTCTCCTAACCAGTCCGGCTTCCCGAGTAGCGGTTGAGAGCATGCCGAGCTTGCACACGCTCTCCTGCAGCCCGTGTCTGGGAACAGGCAAACAGGCAAAGAGTGTTAGTCTCCAGCAACCTTTTAGAAACTCTCAGACCAATCCGGCTGGACTACAGACAACTTGCAAGTCAACTCTACAAGCCCGTGGCACGCATATCCTCTGGGCCCCCTGGGCCTGGAAGCCTCGCATATGACTGATGACTGATGATGATGATGGTGATGATGATGTTGCGGCCCATGAACCTTGGACGGGCCTGGGAACCTGATGACATTGATGACTGATGATGGTGATGATGATGTTGTGGCCCATGAACCTTGAACGGGCCTGGGAACCTGATGACATTGATGACAGATGATGACGATGAGGACTCCACGGGGCATGCTATTAGCCTCGATGATGACTGTCATGCCACGGCACAGGTCTCAGCCCAGCTATTCTACCTGGGAGCCTGGGAACCTAGGAACCGAACCTTTCCCGAGCCTCGTGATGATTGTCATGTCACGGCACATGTCTCAGCCCAGCCAGGGAGGGAGTCTTGCGGCAGATCTTCAGCCGCAGATGAATTCGGCAACAGTCGCGAAGCCGGACTGGTTAGGAGAAACTTAATTAATTTCATTTGCGATTGCCGAGCTGAACCTGGAAGCCGATACGACACGGGCTGAAGGAGAACATGCCGAGCTTCGACACGCTCTCCTGCAGCCCGTGTCTGGGAACAGGCAAACAGGCAAAGAGTGTTAGAACCCAGCAACCTTGTGAAACCTAAACTCTCAGACCAATCCGGCTGGACTACAACTTGCAAGTCAACTCTACAAGCCCGTGGCACGCATATCCTCTGGGCCCTCTGGGCCTGGAAACCTCGACTGATGACTGAAGATGATGATGGTGATGATGATGATGATGTTGCGGCCGCCCATGAACCTTGAACGGGCCTGGGAACCTGATGACATTGATGACTGATGATGGTGATGATGATGTTGCGGCCCATGAACCTTGAACGGGCCTGGGAACCTGATGACATTGATGACTGATGATGGTGATGATGATGTTGCGGCCCATGAACCTTGAACGGGCCTGGGAACCTGATGACATTGATGACAGATGATGACGATGAGGACTCCACGGAACTATTATTATATTTTATCAGCCCAGGGAGCTGGGTTGCCAGCGGAGCAATTCAAAGTTCTGTCGAACACAGACTCCCTGACTGAGGGTAACAGACTGAGCCTGGCAACCCAACGAACTATTCTACCTGGGAGCCTGGGAACCTAGGAACCGAACCTTTCCCGAGCCTCGTGATGATTGTCATGTAACGGCACATGTCTCGGCCCAGCCAGGGAGGGAGTCTTGCGGCAGATCTTCAGCCGCAGATGAATTCGGCAACAGTCGCGAAGCCGGACTGGTTAGGAGAAACTTAATAAATTTAATCATTTGCGGTTGCCGAGCTGAACCTGGAAGCCGATACCACACGGGCTGGCAGGAGAACACCTCGAGCTTCGACACGCTCTCCTGCAGCCCGTGTCTGGGAACAGGCTAACAGGCAAAGAGTGTTAGAACCCAGCAACCTTGTGAAACCTTCAACTCTCAGACCAATCCGGCTGGACTACAACTTGCAAGTCAACTCTACAAGCCCGTGGCACGCATATCCTCTGGGCCCTCTGGGCCTGGAAACCTCGACTGATGACTGAAGATGATGATGGTGCTGGTGATGATGATGTTGCGGCCCATGAACCTTGAACGGGCCTGGGAACCTGATGACATTGATGACTGATGATGGTGATGATGATGTTGCGGCCCATGAAAGGAACCTGATGACATTGATGACAGATGATGACGATGAGGACTCCACGGAACTATTATTATATTTTATCAGCCCAGGGAGCTGGGTTGCCAGCGGAGCAATTCAAAGTTCTGCCGAACACAGACTCCCTGACTGAGGGTAACAGACTGAGCTTGGCAACCCAACGAACTATTCTACCTGGGAGCCTGGGAACCTAGGAACCGAACCTTTCCCGAGCCTCGTGATGATTGTCATGTAACGGCACATGTCTCGGCCCAGCCAGGGAGGGAGTCTTGCGGCAGATCTTCAGCCGCAGATGAATTCGGCAACAGTCGCGAAGCCGGACTGGTTAGGAAAACTTATTTTAGCCGAGCTGAACCTGGAAGCCGATACCACACGGGCACGGCATGCAGGAAAGCGTGTCGAAAGGCCTTCGACACGCTCTCCTGCATGCCCGTGAACCTGGGACGGCGCGGAAGCGGCAGAATCTCTGCCGCTTCCACACTGTTTTTCTCCAGAAATTGTGACACCTAAAACTCTCAGACCAATCCGGCTGGACTACAACTTGCAAGTCAACTCTACAAGCCCGTGGCACGCATATCCTCTGGGCCCTCTGGGCCTGGAAGCCTCGCATATGACTCAGATGACTGATGATGATGATGATGGTGATGATGATGTTGCGGCCCATGAACCTGGAACGGGCCTGGGAACCTGATGACATTGATGATCGATGATGACGATGAGGACTCCACGGCGCATGCTTAATTTTCCAAGCCGTTGAGCCTGGACCTGCAATTGATGTTCCGCGTGCACGCCGTGCATTCCCCGCAGCATCAATTCGAACCAGGTGTTTCCAGTGGAAACACCTGGTTCGATTGATGCTGCGTGTGGCGCCTGGGGCCTGAAGTCTGTTGCTGCTCTGTTGCATGCACCGGCAGTGAACATCCACGGAACGGCCACCGGCAAGGTTTCCATGTCCCCAGACTCCCTCAGCGACTCTGCCACGGTCATCTGTCCGCCCTTAAAGGGTGGACAGATGACGGTGGCAGAGGCGAACCCAGGCGAACAACCATGGAGCCTGGCAGTAACCTTAAAATCTTAAATATTGGGAGCCTGGGAGCCTGGGAACCTATGACTAGGAACCAGTCTCAGCAACTCAGGCCACAAAGTCGGAGCGTCGGCTGGCGCCGGTGTGGGCACCAAAGCAGCCTGGCAACACGGGGAGCGACTGGGTTGCCTATCAGCAGTGACAGTGAAATTACATCATCCAGGGTCCTTTTAGGTGGGATGTTGGGCACCCACGAAGCAACCCTTCAATGCATAGAAAAGACCCTTCAATGCAACTTTTTTGAGAATCAGCGCGTTCAAGGGTCACAAGGTTGCATCCAAGGGTCCCTCAAAGACTAAGATGCTGCTGGATGTTGGCTGGGCACCCACGATAAAACCCTTCAATGCATCCAAAAGACCCTTCAATGCACCTCTCTTAAGAATCAGCGTGTTCAAGGGTCAAAAGGTTGCATCCAAGGGTCCCTCAAAGATGCTGCTGGATGTTGGGCACCCACGATAAAATTCCTTCAATGCAACTTTTTTGAGAATCAGCGCGTTCAAGGGTCACAAGGTAGCATCCAAGGGTCCCTCAAAGATGCTGGATGTTGGGCACCCACGATACAACCCTTCAATGCATCGAAAAGACCCTTCAATGCACCTCTCTTAAGAATCAGCGCGTTCAAGGGTCAAAAGGTTGCATCCAAGGGTCCCTCAAAGATGGCTGGATGTTGGGCATCCACGAAGCAACCCTTCAATGCTTCCGGGTTTAGGGTTTAAGGGTTAGGGTTTAGGGGTTTAGGGTTTAGGCTGGTTTAGGGTTTAGGGTAAAAGACCATTTCAATGTACCTTTTTGGAGATTCAGCGCATTCAAGGGTCACAAGGTTGCATCCAAGGGTCCCTCAAAGATGCTGGATGTTGGACACCCACGAAGCAACCCTTCAATGCATCGAAAAGACCCTTCAATGCACCTTCTCGGAGATTCAGCGCATTCAAGGGTCACAAGGTTGCATCCAAGGGTCCCTCAAAGATGCTGGATGTTAGTAGGCATCCACGAAGCAACCCTTCAAGGCATCCAAAAGACCCTTTAATGCACATGTTTTAAGAATCAACGCAGTCAAGGGTCACAAGGTTGCATCCAAGGGTCGCTGACTGTCAAGCCATTATGACCGCCATGTACCAGACCCTGCACTCAATCAAGTCAGGCTGGCCAGACGGATGTCGAGATTTCGGGCGCCAACTGCAGCAACACCACTTCCTTGCCATTGTCAGTACAAAGACCCTTTAACTTCAGCAGAAGTTTCAATAGACCAATTGCATCCAAGGGTCTTTTTAAGCGGAATGTTGGGTACCCACGAAGCAACCCTTCAGAATCAGCGCGTTCAAGGGTCACAAGGTTGCATCCAAGGGTCTTTGTAGGCATGCGGGATGTTGGGCACCCACGAAGCAACCCTTCAATGCATCGAACAGACCCTTCAATGCACCTCGGAGAATCAGCGCATTCAAGGGTCATCAGGTTGCAATTCAAGGGTCGATGCATCACCCGTCAAGCCATTATGACCGCAGTTGGCCAGCCTGTACGCAGGCGCCCGTCCCACTGCAGGAGGACCTGGCGAGAATAATGGTCTAAGTACGACTCAAATGCATGAGACTCACCGGCTCGCCTCGGCGCGGGTTTGGAGGAGCCTGCTAGCCGAGAATCGTCCGCTGTCCTGGTCAGAGAAAACATCAACAAGTCTTGACAAAGACGCGCTAGCAAATCGAGCTGCATCGGCTACCTCCCGAAATTTGATTCCCGTGCAGCCAGTCGGTATTGTCATCGTCGGCTACTGTACAAGCTAAGGTTTCAATGGCCCACACAGCGACAGTCGTGCCAGGGAGCGGACAAAGTAAACTAAAAAATCACCAGC